TTTTTTTTTTAATTTGGAATTTCGAGCGATTTTCGGAGATGGTCAAGCCTCGAGACGTAGAAATTAAAAAGATCGTCTTTTACCTCTGTGTTTGCTTTTTACACGACTCGTCGTGTGGAAAGAAAACGAATCGTAAATTGTCGATGGCTGTCCGTGATCGGTGTGTGAATAATCGAATCATTAATTCGTTTCAAGCGTATTACTGTGTTTTTAGCAGAAGCAATCACGCCGTTGGCACGACAGAGGCACGATACTGACACTTGCATTGCAATGCAAGTGCCAGTTGCCGGGCGTCGAGATTTCCATAACGAATTTCAGCCGAAAATACTTAACGAATTTCAGCCGAATCGTTAAACGACGCCCGTCAAATTAGTTAACGCGAAGAAAGGCGAGGATGTTCCTCTCTTTGCGATATACGACAGAGGACGATAACTGTTTCGCGACAGTCAAATTTCCGTTGCATGTGACGAACGAACCAAGTAATGTCAGTTGGAACGCTGATGGGCTTATAAATGGGCTTTCGAGAAGCGGCTCACGCGGAGGTCTCATTATGTAATGGTAAGCACTCTGGACTTTAAATCCAGCGATTTGAGTTCGAATCTCGGTGAGACCTTTTGTTTTTTTTCTGTCGTCGAAGTTCGTGCCCTATGCAATTATGACGCCTAAGAACGTATAGAAAAGTCTGCACGCAGGATAGCATACAGTGCGTGTATGTCCAACCGTATTGCATGCAATCAAAAATATTCATTCTAATATTTATTGTGTAACCGACTTACAAGTACTTTTAGCCAATAAATATCTAGCCTACCCGTTGTAGTAGTCTGGCAGAATAGTAAAAACGTTTTATACTTTACCTTTTTTCATCTAGAAATCAAATAAGTCTTTTGAAAGAAAGGGCTGACGAATTTACAATTTAATGAAAAGTTGTTCCTGGTGATTAAACATGGCGACAAATGAAAAAATTCTAAGTCTCTATTACGTATTTTTATTAAATCAAAATAAGTGTTTATATCGCGATAATATTAATCGTAAAAAGATTTTAATGCTTATTATCTTTCGTAATTTTAATTAAAGTTTACGTGTTAAGCAAAAACACCAATAACCTGTAAGTTTTGTTCATGTGAAAGACAAATATCGTAAGTTCTTGTAGAAGAAATATTTAAATCACCCGCACAGAAACGAAAAAAAAAACACGGTATTATTTATTTATAAGTCGTTTATTTTTATAATTCTTAAAGTTGCAATTTAAAAAATAACGAGCAATTATTTATTGTGGTCACAATGCCGAAAGGCAATTTTTAATCATATTTTAAATTTATTTAATTTAAAATATATGCCGTCCACCTCAAATTACTACTGTAGTGTCTCGCCCCGTACATCATACTTTTCCTGTCATCTATTTAACTCCTTTCAGGAAAAATGTTTTGAATAAAAATAACGTGACTTCCGGCTTGCATCGGAACTTCACATATAGTTAGTCAATCGAAAGAGGAGGCCTCGATGAACTGTATATGAACTTTCCGATTCAATCGACTCCTAATCTTTTCATATCTGATCTCGACTTTCATCTACCTAACTGCGTTCTCGAGATTAAGGAAGGCCAGACAGTGGGCATTTATAGATTTACAATGGATTCAAATTGCAGCACAACATCAATATAAAAACAACAGTTGCAGAAGATTCTACCATTGCTCAATTTAAGTGGAATCGTCTTAGTTTATGAGCGTCTTCGAACATCCTAACTCTAACAAAATGGATTACACCTCGTCTCTGTGGGCGTGAGCGAAAGATTACAGACAAAAAGCAGAATCATCTGTCTCTATAGAAAGACAGACGAAATTCTGTCAAAAAATCAAAATTTTTAGCATTAAACCGAGTCGCCACGCAACAATAGAATTTCGACAATTGTCTTTTGTTCGTTTGTTCGAATGCGATTATTTCGAGTGCTTTTGGAGTTTTGCTGCAGTTTTTGCGTATTTTTTGAGTAAGTTTAGTCCCTGATCTTTCTAGATTTAGATATTTTTTAACATCGTTAGGTACTAAATCACAATTAGCAACGAATATTTCGATAACAATCGTTGTGTGGTTTCTTCAAAGTGAAAAATCGAGCCTTCGGAAAAGTGCATTCGATCTTTACATGGTTAATTTTCGTCAATCGAATCGAATAATAAATTGTGTCATTTCCCGTTAAAGTTTTGTGTGTTATGCGTACACATTACATCCCATATGACATTATTATAATGAATCTAGCCTTTAATGAATTAGAATAAATGACTCTTTCCATGTTTTGAAACCGTGTGGTATCTTTATATTTGTTTGATAAACGCAATGTAGCGTAATAGCGATCACTTGGCACTATTCATTCTTGTATTTCAATTTTCGTTGATGTATCTTCCCTATTCTCCCATCTGCATGTTGCCAGGCCTTGTTTCCTTGTATATAATCTTGATTTCCATGTGTGAATGGTGCCGTTTCTGTTTTTTCATATTCTTCTTCCATGTTTAAATAAAATTGAAATAGAAGAATGAATAGTCCCAAGTGATCGTTATTACGCTACATTGCGTTTATAAAACAAATACAATAAATGAGTTCATTGGTCATTTTGTTTTCTCTTAATTTCTTCTAGAATATTTTCATTAGTTTTAATGAAAATCAACAGAATAGCATAACTTTTATAAACCACAAAACTGTTATTATTATAAATAGTTATTTTAATACTTAAACAACAACATATTTACAGGATATCAATTAATTTTAATGGGAAGTTTGAAAACCAGATGGTTTCAAACATTTTTCCAGGATTCATATATAAAAGTATTTTAACTTGAATTTAACAAAAAGTTTACATGTTTAGCATGCATAAATCATTTTAAAAACACGGAGAAATGAGAACGTATATAGCGAAGTTCACCAGAATTGTGCATTAAGTGATAGCTGCGAGGAAGAGGTAGTCAGCCTTCTACCGTGTTAACCCTCTGAACACACCTGAAATTTCCCTAAAATTAACAAAGTTTTCCCTAAATAGCGTTGCTCCACATATAAAAAAAATATCAGTATTTCGACAATCCAGAGAAAAACAGATTTTCACGTTAGGACGTAGGCGCTAGGGCACAGCTGTGGTTTTCGGTGTTAGCACTGTTTGTTAGGACCGGTGTTTTAGAACTAATACAGTTTGAGTTAAAGCCACAGTTTAGCAAAAGCATCGTGTGATGACAATTGTATATTTATGTAATAAACGGTCATATCTGTATTATGTATATCCAACAGGTGCGCAGCTTTATGCTTTTTAAGTATCATGGCGGAAGCGCGTTCAATTCGCTTCAAAGATGGCGGCCCGGTTCGGGCCAGTTGTTATTTGGGAATACCCGTACAGAATGGCAAAGCACGACTATTAAGCTTAGGAATAATTTTGTCTGACGAAGATAAACAACTCCATTTTATTTTTAAATTAGATACTTATTTTTAATACGGGAAAGTTTTACGAATAACAAAATTAAAGTTAAAATATTTGTTTAAGCAGGTCAAATTTTTCGGTCGAGTGCCGAGCATGCAGTCAATTATCGAGCAATTGTTTTTTTTTAACGAGCATTCGAACATCGAATTATTCGAGTTGGGAGCAGTTCGTGTTTCAACGCTAATGATCTTTCGTGATTTTAATTAAAGTTTGCGTGTTAAGCAAAAACACCAATAACCTGTAAGTTTTGTTCATGTGAAAGACAAATATCGTAATTTCTTGTAGAAGAAATATTTAAATCACCCGCACAGAAACGAAAAAAACACGGTATTATTTATTTATAAGCCGTTTATTTTTAAAATTCTTAAAGTTGCAATTTAAAAAATAACGAGCAATTATTTATTGTGGTCACAATGCCGAAAGGCAATTTTTAATCATATTTTAAATTTATTTAATTTAAAATATATGCCGTCCACCTCAAATTACTACTGTAGTGTCTCGCCCCGTACATCATACTTTTCCTGTCATCTATTTAACTCCTTTCAGGAAAAATGTTTTGAATAAAAATAACGTGACTTCCGGCTTGCATCGGAACTTCACATATAGTTAGTCAATCGAAAGAGGAGGCCTCGATGAACTGTATATGAACTTTCCGATTCAATCGACTCCTAATCTTTTCATATCTGATCTCGACTTTCATCTACCTAACTGCGTTCTCGAGATTAAGGAAGGCCAGACAGTGGGCATTTATAGATTTACAATGGATTCAAATTGCAGCACAACATCAATATAAAAACAACAGTTGCAGAAGATTCTACCATTGCTCAATTTAAGTGGAATCGTCTTAGTTTATGAGCGTCTTCGAACATCCTAACTCTAACAAAATGTATTACACCTCGTCTCTGTGGGCGTGAGCGAAAGATTACAGACAAAAAGCAGAATCATCTGTCTCTATAGAAAGACAGACGAAATTCTGTCAAAAAATCAAAATTTTTAGCATTAAACCGAGTCGCCACGCAACAATAGAATTTCGACAATTGTCTTTTGTTCGTTTGTTCGAATGCGATTATTTCGAGTGCTTTTGGAGTTTTGCTGCAGTTTTTGCGTATTTTTTGAGTAAGTTTAGTCCCTGATCTTTCTAGATTTAGATATTTTTTAACATCGTTAGGTACTAAATCACAATTAGCAACGAATATTTCGATAACAATCGTTGTGTGGTTTCTTCAAAGTGAAAAATCGAGCCTTCGGAAAAGTGCATTCGATCTTTACATGGTTAATTTTCGTCAATCGAATCGAATAATAAATTGTGTCATTTCCCGTTAAAGTTTTGTGTGTTATGCGTACACATTACATCCCATATGACATTATTATAATGAATCTAGCCTTTAATGAATTAGAATAAATGACTCTTTCCATGTTTTAAAACCGTGTGGTATCTTTATATTTGTTTGATAAACGCAATGTAGCGTAATAGCGATCACTTGGCACTATTCATTCTTGTATTTCAATTTTCGTTGATGTATCTTCCCTATTCTCCCATCTGCATGTTGCCAGGCCTTGTTTCCTTGTATATAATCTTGATTTCCATGTGTGAATGGTGCCGTTTCTGTTTTTTCATATTCTTCTTCCATGTTTAAATAAAATTGAAATAGAAGAATGAATAGTCCCAAGTGATCGTTATTACGCTACATTGCGTTTATAAAACAAATACAATAAATGAGTTCATTGGTCATTTTGTTTTCTCTTAATTTCTTCTAGAATATTTTCATTAGTTTTAATGAAAATCAACAGAATAGCATAACTTTTATAAACCACAAAACTGTTATTATTATAATATATTTAATACATAATAATTGAATGAATAATTTTAACGTTTTCGTTTATTATTCCATTACAACTTTATATATTTATTTGTGATTAGAATTCTTCTTGTACTTAAAACGACCATTTTCTATCGTATTTATGCTATTAAATTTTCATTTCATTTTTTAATATTGTCTTTATTTAATGCTCGTTGTACAATATTTAATACTCGGTTTGTATTTTTGCTTGCAGGATGGATAATTTTAAAGCGCTGAAGAAATGGGATATATCTGGAGGTGAGAGTCCAGAGGAGAGCTCCTCGACTTCAGGATCGTCTTCCTCTTCAGTTCGAGTGATTCGCGTGCGTCCGAAAGAAGTGCTGGAGGGTGCGAAGGACAAATCTGCTCAACCCGACAAGAAACGGGTGGTTGTCGTTATTCCCGATGAGAGCACGTCGTCTGTCATCGATTACCTGGAACAGAGATATCCAGAAGTTTCGGAATGGTCGGTGCAGAGACAGATCGGTGCACGCGAGCAAGGACTGCAAGAGGAGTGTAAATCGATCCTGAAAAAGAGGAAAAAGAAGCCTTGGTGGAAGAAGATCTTCTTCTTCTGGAAGAAATAAATCTTCAAGGTCTTCTCACCGGATGTGACACTTTTCCCGATTGTGACTTTCTTACCCGGATGTGACTTTTCCCCCGATTTTGACTTTTTTACCCGGATGTGGACTTTTACCTGGCTATGACCTAATGACCGATCATCGGATGTGACATTTTGTGGCGGTTTGGCGTCTTCCCTTTCCTGCTGACGGTTCTCGGAATGATACATGTTCTTCGTCATCGCTTACGAGGGACGTGTTCTTCCACTTCAGTTAATTAAAGCCGACGGCGACAACTTAGCACCGTCTTCGGTCGTTTAAAACCTCTCAAGTGAGAACGAAATTCTGACCGGAAAATAATGGATTTTCGCCAGCAACGTGCGTGTCAACACTGGACACCCGAATAAAAACAAAAGGGAAATATCGCAGTTAACATATGTCTAAGCCACAATTATAATTATGTCGAACAATTAAACGTGTATATAAACCTTTACTTAATAAAACTTTTTGAATTTATATTGATTGATTACGTGTATCAGTTTAAATATTATATGCGCACGTTTTATTTTTGGACTAATTTATAATTAAAGTTGAAATAATCTTTCTAACAATTAAAGCGAAAGTCAAAGCAGAAGAAAATGTGAGCGATTGAAAACGAAAGAAAAATATAAAAATAAAAGAATTTTAAAAACTTGCGAATTTCTATCGATACGAAAGCACGAAATAAAATGCTATAAAACAGAGATTATTAAACTGAAGTGTGTCTCTTTGTTAAGAATAATTCTCTGACTTAATAACAGAAAAAAACTCAATAAATGAAATTATAAAGACACCTGTTTTTGTAATTTTATTTTTTGACGATTTTTCTGGTGTACTGCGCGATAAACTACCACTGTGTTCAATGTAAAATACAGCCGAATACAGAATGAGGTTAAAAATTGCAGCAGATTTTCTTACATATGTTTAGAGCAAATGAGAGTTCGAATGAGATTTAAATTTTTACAATTTTGAAGGAACAATAAGTTTTTGACACTTTGTTCTTCTTATACAACCTCTGGAACAAAACAGTCTTTTCGGGCGGAATCGACCTTTCGCCACTTCTCCGGCCGTCAAGATTGTTTAGTTTTTTAGGCTATATATGTATATATTTTATTGTCTTTGGCTATTTCATTAAATTTTGTATTTTTTTATAATATATTATTATATAATTAAAATTGATATACAATATATATTTCTCTTAGTAGACGAAAGATATGTTTAANTTTACTTAATAAAACTTTTTGAATTTATATTGATTGATTACGTGTATCAGTTTAAATATTATATGCGCACGTTTTATTTTTGGACTAATTTATAATTAAAGTTGAAATAATCTTTCTAACAATTAAAGCGAAAGTCAAAGCAGAAGAAAATGTGAGCGATTGAAAACGAAAGAAAAATATAAAAATAAAAGAATTTTAAAAACTTGCGAATTTCTATCGATACGAAAGCACGAAATAAAATGCTATAAAACAGAGATTATTAAACTGAAGTGTGTCTCTTTGTTAAGAATAATTCTCTGACTTAATAACAGAAAAAAACTCAATAAATGAAATTATAAAGACACCTGTTTTTGTAATTTTATTTTTTGACGATTTTTCTGGTGTACTGCGCGATAAACTACCACTGTGTTCAATGTAAAATACAGCCGAATACAGAATGAGGTTAAAAATTGCAGCAGATTTTCTTACATATGTTTAGAGCAAATGAGAGTTCGAATGAGATTTAAATTTTTACAATTTTGAAGGAACAATAAGTTTTTGACACTTTGTTCTTCTTATACAACCTCTGGAACAAAACAGTCTTTTCGGGCGGAATCGACCTTTCGCCGCTTCTCCGGCCGTCAAGATTGTTTAGTTTTTTAGGCTATATATGTATATATTTTATTGTCTTTGGCTATTTCATTAAATTTTGTATTTTTTTATAATATATTATTATATAATTAAAATTGATATACAATATATATTTCTCTTAGTAGACGAAAGATATGTTTAATGACACTACATAATATTTGTTATAATTATTATGCTGTCAGTTATTTTCAATTTAAATTTTTTCTTCCTGCGGACATAGAGAAGGTTTTGATACGTTGGACGACGGACATTAGCAGACGACACCAATTATACCCGACACTACCGCCATCTGCGCCTAACTAAAACAGTTAAATTTGAATTACATCATTAAGATAATATTACTTTAAATTTTAAAATACCTCAAATAATATTTATTAAGGATGCAAATAAATATATTTAATAAGGATGGAAATAAATGTATTTAATAAAACCTTTAATTTATTTTACATCTTACTTAATAATAGATATCAATCACCGTAATGGAAATTTCGCAAATAAACAGTAGTACAGTACATTTCCTTTTAATCAAAAATTATCGATTACGAAAGTTCACGTGTTTGTTTCAATTAAAATTTATCTTCCACGAATATTAACAATTTGAAATAGATTTNTTTTTTTTATAAAACTCATTTATACCCTCAAAATTAAGCTTTTTACCATTTTATAATAGTTAAAAATATATAAAGATTTTAAATTAAATATCATGACAAATGGTGCCACCAAATGTTAAAGGTTTCGGATTTGCCGAGAGTTACGCAACTGTTTGCTGTATTTTTTATGTCTGCTGTTTGGAAGTCTTCTAATCCCAGATTTTAGTACGATACAGTCGAAGACTTCATGTTCGGCTGACTTAATTTGTGAAAGAACGCAACATTTGGCCGAGGGAAGCAAGATGGCCATTACGTCAAATTGTTTCGCCATCCGAGGCATTTGATCTAATTGCGAAGACATGTTGGGGCAGTGGATACGTGAGGGCTCATATATATGCGAGAAGTCTGAACAGTCCAAACATAAAAAGGACGATTTGAGACGATCGTTTGATAGTGAGACAATCGCGAACAGCTTTAACGACGTCTTTGTTTCCTATCCAGAACAGATGGAAGCTTCGCTACAGAACCTGTTTTTCTCATACTATCAGCACCTTAATTAAGAAAGTCGGCTTTGTTTGACGTAGTGCCATGACAGAGAAAGGTGGGCTGCTACGAACTGGCAGCACTGAAGTCTTTATCTTTGCGACGAATCCAGGTTTTTTTCTGTAACGGACGATCATCGTGTTCGATTATGTAAGCACACTTCTACCCCACTTTTAGACCCATTGTTGGGCGGCACATTACTTTCACTGATGGCCGGATGGCCTAGCGGTTAAGGTGGCAGCCCACCGCTCTGGGGGACTCGGGATCGAGTCGAAAAAATTCCCAGGAATTTATCAAGAGTGATCCGACCAGATGTGTCGAATCCTGTCTTTTACCATTTAGCCTTTCCATTGTGCGTCTGATCGAATCCATAATGGGCTTGCTAAAAAGAGGCACTCTTAGTGCCCACAGGGCAGAAAGAGTTAAATAGTCATTTGTTAATAAAATAATCTGTCTCTGCAACTGTTTGAGAAGTGATTTAGTCCGGTTTGACAAGTGACAATTTGAGTAGAAAGGCCTACAGATACTTTAAAGTACAGGAGGCCTCCATTTAAATTATACCGAACGCCGAAATGGAAATACAGTAGAGCGTCGTTTATCCGAATCAATTGGGGACTGGGGTGGTTCGGATAACTTATTTTTCGGATAACGAATCATGTACGAAAAAATATATTAATTTATCCCATGNACATTTTACTTAATAATAGATATCAATCACCGTAATGGAAATTTCGCAAATAAACAGTAGTACAGTACATTTCCTTTTAATCAAAAATTATCGATTACGAAAGTTCACGTGTTTGTTTCAATTAAAATTTATCTTCCACGAATATTAACAATTTGAAATAGATTTATTTTTTATTGCCATGTGGCGCTGTAAATACAAGTAAACGTGCTTTTATCGCTGTGTGGATTTTGCACCCAGTCTCGCATCACGCGCCGATAATTGCACACGTACGAATAATATATTTTACTTGCATCGGTTTCACTCGAATAATTCAGCTACGGGATCGTTTGCGGATGGTTTAATGTAAGTATGCGTACAATTGTACGAGTGTAGCGTGTAGTATACATGCAACAAACGAGCGAGCCGGTTCCCGGCGTTTTTTTTTTACCTGACGTGTCATTGTCGCGCGACGATAATAAAACACGGTTCAAGGGCATTTTTCTTGTTAAAGTTTATACATTTAATTCCAGTTCTTATAATCCGGTTGCCGACTGTGTTTTAGAATATACAGGAACTCCGTTAGTATTATTTTATCTGAAGGCAGGATGTCTGAAATTAATCGAAGATTAACTTCACTTGAGTGTGTAATCTTGTTTATACAGAATAATAAAATGTTTGATGAGTCATTTGCGCTTGTACCTTTCCTGTACGTCCTTCTGAAACTGATGTGTAATTGCTTTCCAGTATAGACAGGATATTTGGTTAGCTGTGTATGTATGCTGTCTGCTAACGTATTTAACCAATACTGATGATCTTATGCCCGTATTAAACTTATGATTAATCGAATATAGCTTGGGTAAAGTTGCGCGAGATGGTAACGAGCCTACCAGCATGAACTGCCTCAGTCAGAGCTGTGATTATACCAATTTGTAATAATGTCTTGTTAAATTAATTTAAAAATTTTTTATTATTAAATTAAATAGTGTTTTGGTTTGTTTCTTATATTTCATTTTTAATAAATTAACGTTGTAATTTCTTTCCTCATTTTTTTCTGATAACTTTGTTTAGAAGATGGAAATTATCCCGGTGCTCTCGTTGTCGGAGAATTCGGAGAAGTGGGAAGCATTTTCTTCTCTCCGTAAACATTTCAAGCAGAAGTTTGGATGTCAGCCTTCGTTTTACGTCAGAGTGCCCGGAAGAGTCAACATCATTGGAGAACATATTGATTACTGCGGTTATTCCGTCTTGCCCATGGCCATTGAACAAGATATTGTGGTGGCAGTGGTGGCCAACAAAAATAACAGATTAAATCTTACCAATGTGGATCAGGATTTCTACTCGGACTTCTCCACCGCCACCGATGCCTTGAAAATCGATCGGTCCACTCTGGAATGGCATAATTATTTTTTGTGTGGTTTTCAAGGCATCATTGAAGAATATTCCTTAAAATTACCACTTGGCATGGATGTTGCTTTGCAAGGAACCGTTCCGCCCTCATCCGGTTTGTCCAGTTCCAGTGCCTTGGTTTGCTGTGCCGCTTTAGCTACAGCTTATATTAATAGGTGGATTATATATACAAATAACAAAGAAATCTGCTTTATCAAAATAATTTATATAATGTTTATTTCACAGCATAAGCATTTCCAAATTGGAGATAGCAAGCTTATGTGCCAAATCCGAACGTTACATAGGCACACAAGGAGGTGGAATGGACCAGGCTATTGCTTTTTTAGCTGAGAAAGGTAACTTTATCAATACATTTTAAAAAAAAAATAATATTCAGAACCAAAACTAAATATTTTTTAATTCTAGGTTCTGCAAAATTAATCGAATTTAATCCATTAAGAGCTACGGATGTGCATTTGCCGGCCGAAGCTGCATTCGTAATTGCAAACAGTTGTGTCGAGATGAATAAAGCTGCCACATCACATTATAACACACGAGTGGTTGAATGTCACCTGGCAGCTCAGGTAATTTTATTAATTAATAAAAATAATTAACGGCTTTATTTCTGATTAATGTTTTTAAATTTCGAATAAATTATATGTATATTTATTATAATTTTATTTGTTTTCTGTATTTTCTGATGTTTATAAATGAAATATTTATCCAAGTTTCATGAAATTTGAGACTAGTAAGTACTAGTAAGTGTTTAGAATATTTTTGATTAATCATTGTGTATATATCAAATAATGATAAACAAGTTGACAGAAATCATAGTTATTGTTTTCAGAACAGGAACTTTTTATATGTAAAAAAATAAATGTAAACAGAAGACATTAACAAGGAATGCTTTTTACTATTACAACAGAAAATGAAAGATTGTTTTGTAGACTACCTCCCACTTGTCAAAAGTGGAAAATCCCAGATGCATGTTTTTTGATTGAGCCAAAATAGAGGGCTTCACAGTTTGAATGCCAATGAAATTCTCTGCCTTTTATCTCCAGTGTAGATAATTAGAAAATCTAAAATTTGATTCAGCAATTCATATATATCCCTGTATATAAGGTATTGATGCTGTTGAATTTTGAAAAATATAAGTCAGGAGGTGAAAAGATTTGGCAGGGCTGGATTTATATCATGAGTGGGATCAGACTTGATGAAACCTTTACTCCTATAAACACAATGCATACAAAAACCTAAATTCAGCAAAAGAAATGATTATTTATTAATGGAAAGTAATGTTTTTGATTACAAAACAACCACTCAAAATTGGGAAAACTTGATAACAACAGCGTTTGAAACCAAAAATCAGCATACAAAATAACGGAGATAACATTTTTGATTACTTTCAGCATTCATCGGGTTAGAACAAGTGTTTTAAAATAACGAGAATTTGAACATACCTTTTATGTGTGTTGTGTTTATAAGAGCATCCATTTATTTGCTGTACTTTAACTTTACTCCTTACGAGTTTCTAGATTATATTAAAACTATAATTTTGATCTCAAAATTTTTTCAGAAAGTCATCCCAACCTTCAAATATTAAATTTTTGGTGTACACTTGTAGTTATCTTAACATAATCATGATTACATATATGTTAAATTTGATTGAGGAAAACATAAAAAGATGATCAAAAATTATAACTAGGAATTACCACATCAAATTTTCAGCTTTTCCGATTATCTATACTAGAGATACTGTATAAGACAAAGAATATCATTGCCATTCAAACTTTGATGCCCTCCATCTTGGCTCAATTGAAAAATTGGCACCTAGGATTTTTTATTTTTGATAAGTGGGAAGCAGTCTATAAAATGCATACAAAATTTTTCATTTCCCGTTACAAGGGAACATTTTTTATGTTATAAAGAGTTAAAAATGGCAAACATGCAGATGAGACAGTGAATTAATTGTGATTTGGAAAAAATTTTTAAATGCTGTTTAAAAATAAAATTTAGAATTTTATGTTTCTCAAATAATAATATATTCTAAAACATATATTATTATATATCTGTTGTCTAGTATTGATAAACATTGACCGATTAATAGTTCAGACAGTAAATATCTAATCTATAAGATAACTAATGTGAAATATATAAAATTCTGATATTGAAACACTTCCAGACAGCTTGATAAGATAACTGTTTTAGAAATCAATTGATTCTCTCTCAAAATTAAAATGGTTTAATCTATTAACTGGTTAAATATTTTCAATTCAAAGTTGCTTATTCTGGCTTGATAAATGATGTGCGATATTTTATATTTTAAAAACTTTTTCCAATTTTTTAAACATACTAATATTTTTCAATTTATAGATAATTGCAAAAGATAATAATTTAGAATGGAACACATTCAAGAAATTGGGTGACGTGCAGAAAGCACTAGGGGTATCGCTTGAAAAAATGCCGGAGTTAGTTGATTCATCGCTACACGAACAATGCTATACAAGGAAAGAATTATATGAAATTTTTCATTATTCGCCACAAGAATTTGAAAGAATATTTTTAACTGACAATACAATTCATCTCCAAGAATTTAAAGTAATTTTCTTCTTTAATTAAGATATTTATTAAAATTACATGTAAAAATGCTAAAGTAATAGCATCTTTTTTGTTATCAATAAATTAATTTTCCAGCTATATCAAAGAGCAATGCACGTTTATAAAGAAGCACACAGAGTGATATGCTTTAAAACAATTGCTGAAAAACGGTCCAACGTACTGACGGATCTTGGTGAATTAATGAACGAGAGTCACGCCAGTTGTCGAGATATGTACGAATGCAGTCACCCTCAACTGGATAAATTAGTAAAAATATCTATTGGTGCGGGAGCTTTAGGATCAAGACTCACTGGAGCTGGGTAAGTTATAAATTGTTCAAGACAATTCTCTAGAATTTAAGATTTAAGATGGCAATAATTCTAGAGAATTATAAATACAGTAGAGCGTCGTTTATCCGAATCAATTGGGGACTGGGATTGTTCAGATAACTTATTTTTTGGATAACTGATTATGTACGAAAAAATATATTAATTTCTTATCCCATGTTGAAATTTTTTTCCGTTGCGTGTCGCTTCGCGTTGAATTTTCGTCAATGTTAAGACGAATGTAAATTTTTAAAAATAATAATAATAATAATAATATATAACATCTAGATTACATAATTATTAGTGCCTGACTTATGACCCTTTGACTTAGGAACAGTTGTACTTACATTGACCCAGATTAGTGTATTAAAAAATTATTTTTTGAATCCAAAACATTAATTGTACTTGTTAATAAAACAGTATAACAATTAAACATTAAATATAGGCAAATATTGTTATATAGAGAGAGTTTATTGCCTGTAATAGGCAATAAACTCTATATAACAATAACTGGCAAATTTTTATTCACATTTAACTATTTCTTGGGTTTGGGTCCTTAGCAACTCAAATGCAAAAGTGAAATCAGCTTTCTACAGAGCTGATCAATCTAGGCTAATATAAATAAGTGACAATAAAAGTAAAATCATTTACACACAAAGCTTGCAATACTTCCTTAGTATGATTTTAAATTTCTTTGAACATGTTTCTCTGTAGTTCTTTATTAATAGAACACCATAATCCATAATTAAAGCCAATGTTTAATATTTTATATACCCAAAATACCTTTGCTATATTGTATTTTAGAATATATGCACAGTAATGATTTATAACATATGTACTATTCAAATGCATATTATACAAGCTTGCATGACCTTGCAAACATACCTTTATTCTTCATGTTAGACCTCCATTCTGGAATTCCTATCGTATATCAATCTGTACCTGTACCTAATTTAAGACAGTTCCATTTTGAGACTAAAAATTCTGTGAAAATGGAATTTATATAAAACAAAGAGAAAAATGGTTATGATAAGGTATTATGGTTTGCAAGGTAACATGTAATCCTGTATAATATCACATATATATGAAATCTATAGGTGCAGTAATGGATTACAACATGCAAACTAAAAGAGAATCTAGTAGTTTAGTAAATAATAATATATGCATTTTAAAATCCATATGGGTGGAAGGGGTTAAAATCAAAAAGATTATATTAAATAATAATAAAAATATCCTAATTTTAAGTAAATGAATTTGAATGTTAATGAATATATATAAAGATTAAAATATACTTTAAGCACCCATTTGAACAGCACAGTGAATATATTAAAAAAGAAATCTCTCATTTGTTTTATTCATTTTAAAAAATTTTGAACATTTTCATTGTGAAAATATCAAAATGAATAAAATTATTATAATTTATTTAAGTGAAAAACCATATTAATATAAAAGTTGAAAGTTCAAGGATTAAAATCATTATCTGATCTTAGTACTTGACCTTTCTTTATTTTATAAACTAGTCACAAAAGATTGACTTTAAAAAGTAGGACGACATTTAAATCTCTTACAAAAAGAGGTCAAAATCTTTTTAATCATAAAATATTTTTTCTGAAATTTTATTTAGTAATTATTATTATTAATATTTTTTTAAATTGTAGATGGGGAGGATGCAGTGTTTCTTTAGTTCCTAAAAGTAAAATAAATCAATATATTGAAGAAGTAAAAGAAAAATTCTACAGTAATTTAAATAAAGGAAATTTAGAAAATGTAATTTTTGCAACCCAACCTGGAGGTGGTGCAGTAATATACAAAGTATAAATCAAAGAATAATATAATATATAAAAATGAGGCCAGTATATATTTGATCTCAACAAATTTTTTGTGCAATTTTTAAGTTTCTTCTTCTTATTTTATTTATACTAAAAATATAAATAGCACCAAAAATAATTGTATTTTTTTTTCTAAATTAAGAAACACAAGAATTACTTGATATTTTGCTATTTATAGTTTTAGTTATATACATATACAATGTGCCTCCATTAACAACATAGTAATTTATTCTTTCTTGACATTTTAATTATTAGGAATTTTTCAGGTAATAAAGACAACCTGTGATAAAATATTGTTGCATTATAATTTGTTGGTAATTAGTATCAAACTTTTTTGATGAAATAAAATAATCACACTTCAATTTTTACTATAAAATCCCTAATATAAAGTTTTGTCTAAAGTCACATTTGAATTTTCAGTTGTCTATGTATACAGTATATTATATTAAAATGATAGAAAGATGCCAAAACCAAATCTAGTCTAGCCAAAAGTCTGGCAATCATTTAACTTTTTACATATTGAATTGGGTTACTTTACTGTGGCATCAGGCATTGAGATGTTTGTATATATAAAAGATAAGTTGATGCACAAAAATTTGGTGCTGTTGCCAAATTGATAAAAAGTTAAAGTTTAAATATAACATAACTTTTACATTTGAAATCTTCCTGTTTTGTTGATGTACAGAGCACGCTAGGTACAGTGTGTATAAGTGAATAAGCAATAACCAAGGCAGAAACACCTTTCATAGTGAGCTCACTTCAATAAATGCAAGAATATTTTCAATGACAGACTTTTCTGATGAATATTCACATTTGAAAAATGCATACTGTATCAGATTTTTGAATCTTGGTGCTGAGAACCAACACTGGGAGAACAATCATAAATGCAAAGTAATCGCAGTTCAGAACGTTAACATTTGTTGGAAATTTTCTTGGCAAGATGCCTCTAACATGTGGTCTGTGGCATCCCAGGATTTTGTGTTCCAGCATATCTTTTTAAGATCTTTTGGAGAGATCAGGGTTTGGTTTTGCCACCTTTGTCCTTTCCTTATTATTAATCTTTGATTTGATAAATTTTGATTACTTTTGGAACAATGAATCTTTTTGTTAAATTTCATTTTTAATTTTGTGTGTTAAGTAAAAGAAAATTATTTAATCCAGAAATTAAAAAATTTGGGAGGAGAATTTCATCATTGTTTTTGTATCAATACTTGTTATTCTGTATTATAAATAATTTTTTTTTAATTTAAAAATATTATTATGTACTTTGCCAAAAATGATTTGATTATGTACAAAGTTGTTCCCCACAGATAAATCACAAAATGTAATTAAATTTTATGGAACTATAAATAAAGTAATTCAAAAAGTAATTTTATATTGATGTGTTACACAAAGTTTCATTTTTTTTATAGCTAAAGTTTATTTGCAATTAATGTGGAAAAAATTATAAATCAGATTAAATCTAACTGCAGTTTTAAATAAATCTTGACAGAAAAATTTTTCTTAAAAGATGAAATATTACATTAATAAAATATATGTTTAATGCAAGTAGTTAAATAAATATGTGATTATAAAAATAGCTTATTTCCAATACTGTTTAAATAAATATGATTACGTTAACTCAAAAATTAAATTTTGTCATAGAACAGAAAACACAATAAAGGTCAAAATTGTCAATTTGTAGGTTTCCACTTCTTAGACGTCAGTACAGAGGTTATTTGAACATAATTTTATAATCACTGTATTTTCTGGATTAAACCAACAGGGAATAAAGGTGCCATTAAAAATGAACCCAGGCTGAGGAGCACAGGAAACTTGTTGGAAGTACTGCACTAGGTAATGTAGTTTAGAGTGGTGGCTAAGGCATTTAAGAAAACTGGTTTGCAATAATCCAATAGATGAATATAATCTTCAGTTTTATCATTTAAAGTACAAATTATTATTTGGATATAATTACAACGGTTAGTGATTGTAATCTGTTAAATTCGTCATATCGGTAACTTAAAGATTTTGTATTGTTTCAATGAAAATAAACATACCAAACCATCTACTAGTAGTATCTTGGGTAATAAATTCATGTTTTATTCTTAAGATACTAAAGAAACAAATTTTTATATATTAATCTTATAAATCATAATTAATTTTCAGACATGACAATTTAACTTACAAATGTAGAGGATACTGATTTTAAAAAAATTCAACTAAATATTGTAATGCTTGCTGATGTCACTTTAATGTTTATTTTCAAACTAGTTTGTCATCTACTTTCCATTCAATCTTTTATTTATTTATTTCATGAAAATACATTATTGCAATTGGTAAATATTGTTGACAAGAAACAAACGAAGCTACTGTATGTTTGCTCTTACGTAACTTGTTATTGCTTCAATCTAAAATCAATTACACACACATCTACATTAAATAAACTCATTTATTAACTTAAGAAACAATTAAATGTATATCATAATCTAATCAAGCTTTTGGATTATAATCTTATCATATTTCGTCAACAATCTGCATAACACAGGAATCACAATAATGTAAGGCTGTAGATACAGTAAACTGAGACGACACAAGAATATTTACAAACTGGCATTGATCAATTTACTCCAGATTTATAGATACATATGCCACAATGTATTGTTGCAAGTGCTTCTACTGGAGTTCTGCTTCAATCTGAGCTATTCTTGCCAGTAGCTAAATGAATATATTGACATTCTAAGAAGTATTTCTGTATATGTCTGTGGCAAAGATCAGCATTGTCACTGCAGAATACAGCATAATGGAGATCATAAGTACTTGAAAAATTTGTATCATTGAGGAAATCAGTATTATTAAGAATCAAATTATAGCAACACATGAAAAGCCAATATAACACTAAGCATTTGAACGTGTGATCTTTCTTGGCTCACATCTAAGGAAGATGTTGGTGGTGCTTTGATTTTTAGTTCTGTTTACTGCACGACCTCGTCAGACGTGTTATCTCATTCAACAAATTTACTTCATAAAATATTCCAGAGAATATTTCTACAGACAATGTGGACCCCATGGGTCAAGATTGTTTGCAAAACTCATAGTTACAATAATTAAGAGAGAAATGTTTTCATTTCAATAACTCATCTCTCTCATAATTTAATATTTTCTATAAAAAATAAAACTTTTTCATCACTCAAAAAACAGCTCAATATTGACAGATTTTATAGTAATGTTTGACAGAACTAAAACAAGCAGAGAATGTATTTTGGAATTTTGGATCCTCAAAATTTAGATTTGACATATATAAAACTGAATTGTATTTTGTTCAATACAGATATACCTCGACTTACGTCGTTTCGAGTTACGTCGTTCCCGATTATACGTCGTTTGTCAAAAAAGTACTGTATATGGAAAAATAAAAATCAAATTTAAGTCATTTTATTCGACTTTACGTCTGTCCGCCACAAATATTGAAGTCGTAATATCACTAGAAAAATGTTTAAAGCACATAAAATCATATTAAAATATATACATTTACAAGTACGTACTGTATTTACAGTACATACTTATAAATGTATATATTTCAGATTACTTTTTTTCTGTACTATATTAAAAACTGAAATTTATTTGTTTGTAAGCTTAAAATAGATCCTTATTAACCATACATTATTAAAAATGCATTAATAAATAAAATACAGAACCGGAATTGGCAATTTATGGTTTAGCCTAGTGACAAGTAGATTTGGAGACAAGTAAATTCGACTTACGTCNATCCGCGTATCTATCCGCGATAAATTGATAGATTGGTGTCAGATCCTGACAGGTGAAAGCATCTAACGATCCTTTCTCCTAACCCTTTTTTCCCATCCTTTAGACAAGCGAGACCGGACCTCAAGGTCTTGAGTCGAGTAAGTGGTAGGAGAGGGACATCCTCGTAAACATCCTACCCCCGATTAGTCTCACAATTCTACTGTAATTATAGTAATTTTGAGATCAGCAGAAAAACATGAACTGACTGCATTACAACCAAAGATTGAAAATAATTAGAAGTTGGAAATTTCAATATGTCCAATAAGTGTTTAATAATCAGAGCAACTTCTTTTGACAATCAACAATTCGTTGAATATCCATTCAAAAAAGTAGAGAGAACTTTCTGTTGTAACCGACAAAGATGATCATCTACAAATATGTAGTCATTGTGATCCATTTAAACAAACTAGCAGTCGTGAAGACCACATGGGAATCCAAAATGAAAACAGAATTGGCTGAATTTATTTGAGGAATGTCATATTTACCAGTCTGTTGAATCGAAAGGATGTTCAACATACATAAGGAAAGTTTGTTAAAATTAAAATTTTTCAGTTATTTCTTTATATCATTTGTGGTCTCAATAATTTAACACCAGGAAGGATGTATTTTACTAATTCACAACTATAATTTATTTAAACTTCTTAATGCATTTGAAATTAAGAAAATATTTGCAGTGGATTTTTATCCTCTTGTTTTGACTATGTAACACCATCTTGAAAGTCAAAATGAAATATTTTTAGTGTAACATTGATTGGAAATCAACTTTTATTGCATGTTGTTGGTTATTATTATTTAAAGTTGGCATTGTGATACAACCTTTGGTCGGTTAAGAAAAATCCAAGATAGCTACATAAGAGAAAGTTATCCATTAATATGAAGTCGATACCTATCTCCCAATTTATATGTTTTGAGGGTAAATTTTCTGAAGATTAGCTTAGAACAAAGCAAAGTAAATAGTCTTGTAAAATATTGTTTATCATTTCTTAAAACTTAATGAATATAAGATATAGTGGTCTTTAAAGTACTGAGAAAATTAAGCTATGTGAATATAGCAGTTAAGACTTTCAGAGAGTAACATCTCACAAATTTGGTCAAAAAAGCATTGAGGAAGGACAAGGAATAATCATTCGAAATAACTTTAGAATGGCAGAATCACTCTGGATTTTTACACAGAATTTATAGATTTTCTCTCAAACATTTAGAAACGAATTGTTAGAAGAAATGAAATTCCACTTTTCTTTCCAACAAAGAAAAAAATTTGCATTAGCCGGTCTTTATTCGTTTGTTAATTTCTTTGTGTCCAGTTTTATTTTGTAATTATTTGTAAATTATTAATATATTTTATATTTATTTACTTTTTTTTATTAGGCAATATTAATGTATATTAAAATATAAATATAATACCCAATATTCATTTACTTCTTATGCTTTTAAGAATTTACAAAATTTAAATGCAGTCATTTATTAACAAGCCTCAATACTTGAAAATAAATATATTATCTAAATAAAAACATGCTATGTATAAGTACACTAGTAAATACTTTGACATTTTTGTTTAAAAATAACTGATTACAATTTTTTCTGCAGATATTAAAAAATATTACTGATAATAAAGGTAAATTTTTCAAAAACTTGTATATGAATCTTTATAAATGCATCCAATAAATAAAAAAAACTGAAGTAAGTAGTAGTGAATACAAGAAAACAAAATATATCTCAAATGATACATAAAAATTAATAAAGTGTACAAATTTTTCACATATTCCATGTGATGACTATTTTTGTATTTTAGATAAATTACTTAAGTATAATTATTCTGTCATAAACAAGTATATATAAACAATTTATAACCTACTTTACTGAGTTTTAAGTAATAGAATATGGAATAAGATCATAAAATATATAATTAATGCCATTAAACAATATTTTTAGGAAATTAAAAACTGTTTTCAACTTATTATTTCAATAAAAAAAAGTCTTTTGAAATTATTAGAGTTGTGTAATTGTAATTGCATATGTAACATTATCAATAATCTTTTAATTATATTTTCGAATTTGTCACTTACATTAGCAAAAAATATTNAATAAGCGCAGAGCCCAAACGGTTAGGAGTTGAAAGCTGAAATTTGGTACACAGTTAGGGTACGTCACGAAAATGCACACTAAGAAGGGATTTTTCGAAATTCCCCCGGGGGACAGGATTAAGCTTAACACTTCCATCAACAATAGAAGTGTTAAGTAACAATGGAAGTGTCAACAATGGAAGTGTCAACAATGGAAGTGTCAACAATGGAAGTGTCAACAATGGAAGTGTCAACAATGGAAGTGTCAGCAATAGACGTGTCAACAATGGAATTGTTAAGAGAAAGCGATGTTTTAAGCGAAAGTGCAGTTTTTTTTCATTTTTGCAGGAAATCTAAGATATTTTTAGATCCATCTAAAAATTCTCTAATTAGTCTGGAAACAGGGGACCCAATTCTTGCATTCTGTGAAAATGAGTAAGGTTGACTATAACATAATAATCTTAATCTTCGCTATTGTTACTTTTGCCCGAGCAACGCCAGGCCTACCTGCTAATTACTTAAGAATTTGTATATTAGTTTTGTTGTTTTCAGTGCTGAAAAGTAATGTGTTTATTTTACTAATACCCTTAAAACCTGCCTGAAGTGGAACCTTAATAAAATGGAAACATGCATAAATGGAAAAATTCTTAGGAATAGCAATTTTCTGTGTTAAAAACAGAAACCTGCCAAACCAAAAAAATATTCAGTACCGTATGAGTCCAGTTTACACAGGTTTCACGTAATTACTTTTTATTACAGTTTCTAAAAAATTAAAACAGTCAAAGAAAGTTTAGAATCAAAAATAAAAGTACTTCTTACTTTTAATTTATTACTTAAATAGATAGTGTTGTGTTAAAAATAATGCAAGAAGTCTTTTAATTAACTCATGACTAACAAAAAGTGCAATTCAGAGTACAGGATGAGAAACAGGTAGTTTTAATGGTTAAAAAAAACTAAATCGCTACATAGCATGTGTGAGAGCTGAAATATTATTATTAAGGAAGAAACTTTAACCTAATATATTTTGCTGAAATTAGAAGAAACTTTAAATTAATGTAAAATTTTGTTGTTCAAATCCAGATAATTTTTCAACAAAATTACTGATTAAAGAGGAGATTAAACTGTTTCCCATGGATTTAGTTCCTTGTTGGAAGTGACACATCAACTGTGCCACTTTAACTTAACGGGTGAAAATTGTTGATTGGACTCAACGTACTAAAGCTTTGAATGAATAAGTGGGAAAAACCCAGAAGAGATCCCTGTATAAATCGGAGGGGATGCTGACGATGACGCGTTTTTCCTTTTTTGTCCTGAGTTGTGAACTTATCGTTGTGTGTGTGAATCTTGCCATTACCACCCCTGGACCCTGGACTCCCGCGACTGCTCACAGGAGAGAATGAAACAGTTTCTGTGTCTGTCCGTAAAGACACAGTGGTGTCAGTCCTGACAAATCTGTCATTGCAGTCTTCGCCGACGCAATGTTGACCCTTCGGTTCTGTGGTGCCGAAGCATAGAGGGGGACCTTCAGAATTGTCACACATGCAAGTGCCTGATGTGAGAATCGGAACAAAATTTTATAATTAATATAATTAAACATAGATAGTTTTACATTGATCTAGATTAGGGCTGTTTTCAGATCAGCCTTTCTTCAAAAAGAAACTCTAACCCATTTCCTTCATCTTTGAATGGAGAAAGCAAATGAATGNTTATTATTAAGGAAGAAACTTTAACCTAATATATTTTGCTAAAATTAGAAGAAACTTTAAATTAATGTAAAATTTTGTTGTTCAAATCCAGATAATTTTTCAACAAAATTACTGATTAAAGAGGAGATTAAACTGTTTCCCATGGATTTAGTTCCTTGTTGGAAGTGACACATCAACTGTGCCACTTTAACTTAACGGGTGAAAATTGTTGATTGGACTCAACGTACTAAAGCTTTGAATGAATAAGTGGGAAAAACCCAGAAGAGATCCCTGTATAAATCGGAGGGGATGCTGACGATGACGCGTTTTTCCTTTTTTGTCCTGAGTTGTGAACTTATCGTTGTGTGTGTGAATCTTGCCATTACCACCCCTGGACCCTGGACTCCCGCGACTGCTCACAGGAGAGAATGAAACAGTTTCTGTGTCTGTCCGTAAAGACACAGTGGTGTCAGTCCTGACAAATCTGTCATTGCAGTCTTCGCCGACGCAATGTTGACCCTTCGGTTCTGTGGTGCCGAAGCATAGAGGGGGACCTTCAGAATTGTCACACATGCAAGTGCCTGATGTGAGAATTGGAACAAAATTTTATAATTAATATAATTAAACATAGATAGTTTTACATTGATCTAGATTAGGGCTGTTTTCAGATCAACCTTCCTTCAAAAAGAAACTCTAACCCATTTCCTTCATCTTTGAATGGAGAAAGCAAATGAATGCTGTTTCTTTATGTGAAAAATAATTTTACTACATGGGAACGTGATAATTATACATTTTAAATTTAATTTTCACTCAAAATCATTAATTACTCTGAGAAAACAAACCTAATTTTCTACATGTTGTTTACATTAACAGAAGCCACATTCTTTCCCTCTTCATCACTTTTGTGTCGAAGAGGGAAATAACTTCTCTTCAAAGTACCTTATCTCATTTTGACAACCATTTGGGTATCTAACCCCCTCTGTACGCTCACACACATCCCATTAGCGAACATGAATCTGCTATTGGTCAGAATTTCAGATAAAAAAAGGCAATTTCCTCTGATCAAGGAGTTCTCCAAAAGTTTTATTTGTACTCCAATCCCCGAGTCTTCTTCGTCCAAAAATTTAACTCCATGCACCCAACACTTCCCACTTTGATTAACATCCTCCTCCTTAATTCCACTGCCATTTGTTCTATGCCATCAATGTATCATTGCCTAACTCTGAAGACTACTAACCAATCAACAGACGAGGTAGTACATGTTTATTTGATGTAAAATCTCTCTCTCTCTCATGTGAATAGATAGGGAATTACAACCCCTTGCTTATCTATAATTTATTTTTATTCTTAATAAATTTTGTTTCTTTGATTTAAAATGGACTCGTTACTGAACTCAACTCCATGCTGAAGTCTTATCATGGATCAATCCCTCTCTCTTGGAAAAGATTATTATTTTATCCATTAGAGTGCCTAACACTCTAATTAGGCTGGTGTCAGGAAAAACAACTCAAGGACGTTTTACGACTTTCCTATGACAAATTTTTTTATAATATTAAAAACCCACCCTGCGGGCGGATCTTTCTGTTCTGAGGCCAAATGAATAAGAAAAACCATTTCTTACCCACCGGATTCCCACAATGATGTGTTTGTCCCATAGACTTAACATTATATCTTTGCCAATCTGCCATGCCTGAATCATTGCACCTTTCTCAAATCTCTTTAGCAGCATCAGCTACAGGGTAACAGCATGAATTTGATACCCAAACCACATTTGTACTCTCAACTTTTCTCTCAAACAAAGCTGGACAGTTTTTGAGGCTACAAAATTTATATTATATATATATATTTCATAGCCTCAAACTGTCCAGCTTTGTTTGATATATATATTATCAATGAAAACAAAATAACCAAACTTAAACATGCTTCTTAAAACCCTTACTTCACATTCATTTTTCTTACTCTATCTATATTAATTCAATAATTTTCTGTAGTTATCATAACATGGTTGTATTGTAATATTGTCTGTTATTAATTTTATCATGATTTATAACATAAAAAGTAAATTTTAAAGAAATTACAAAATTCATACAGCTTTGCAACAAAATATGCATGTAAAATTTATGAAAACATTTGTACAGATTATTTTATGAAGTGAAATAGAGAAATTTAGCAAAAAAATACTACTAATTGAACAAAATATTGTTTTATTATAATACGCTTCTTGCAGTGGTGTAGCGTGGGTGTCAACTGCCCGGGGCGGAGGAAAATTTCGCCCCCCTTATTTAGGTATCTCAATTTAAAAGACAAATTCAATTTCGTCACAGAATAAGTAATGAAAAATTCCATGCTAGTGTTGCCACCTTATTAAAATTGCTGACCTGGACGGCAGGTGAGGTTTGTTCGAACAGAAGTTCCTGACGCATGCGTATGTCATTTTGCAATGCGAAGAATAATGTGCAGTGCATGCTGGTTCTAAATCAGTTACAGTTAGCGACTAGGGAGACTTGCAACTTGGATAGGAGTAACGCAAGTGACCTAGATGTATTGGATATTGGAGGTGTATATATATATATATGAATAAATCGTACAAGCAAAAACAAAAAAACAAACAAAAAAAAAAAAAGGTCAACAGGTTACGCACACGATATCCCAGAATGGCGAGTCGGATGCTAACACTATTCCGTGCTCATTTCAATCGATCTGAGTCGTAGATGGACGAAAATATGAAATAATAATAATATCTTGTAAGAATTTGAACCATTTTATTTATTGTGAAATTTTGCTGCCCCATAAAAAGTGCCGTCCCTGCCGCCCCACTACACTACGCTACTGGCTTCTTGTCTACTTTAAAGTGTATTAGCGAAAGTGCAGTTTTTTTTTCATTTTTGCAGGAAATCTAAGATATTTTTAGACCCATCTAAGAATATAATGGCCTCCTTACTTCTAGACTTATCACACTGTCATCAGATACAAGGCCAGCCTCAATATGTCAATTCATTTTCCAGTAGTATGCATTTCATAGTATGCATAGTAAAAGCTGCTGGGGGACTATAAAGACTTACAGTCCCTCAGCAGCTTTTTTACAATTATTCAAAGATAAAAACCAGTAAGTTAAACTGCCATTAATACTATTAACTTAGATCTTAATATAACTTATATATTTACAACTCCATGTCAATTTTGCAAAATATGTAAGTTATATTAAGATCTAAGTTAATAGTATTAATGGCTGTTTAACTTACTGGTTTTTATCTTTGAATAATTGTAAAAAAGCTGCTGAGGGACTGTAAGTCTGAAATGCATACTACTGGAAAATAAATTGATATGTTGAGGCTGATCTTGTATCTGATGACAGTGTGATAAGTTTAGAAATAGAGACCATTATACAGCTCACCAATACAAGATATTGTTTTGTTATATATATAAAAAAATTAATTTATAAAGAATTTTCAAGACAATTTTTTAATATTCTGTATTTTATATTTTAAAAATTAGACGTTGTTGGCACTTCATACATTTAAATTAAGATTTTCATTCATATTAACATATTTATTTCATTATATTTTGAAAAAATGTGTGTGTACTAAAACATCAAATTTTGAAACTCAAAAAGTTCAAATTATATTATTTATTTCATTTTTTTTCACTGAAATGATCCCAACAGTTCTTTCTAATAGTTTTTTTTTAAAACACCTATTTAAGTAAGTTATATTACATTTTTAATGATTGTGTAATTTCTTTTAGGTAATCATTATGCATAATATAATTTCAAATAAAAAAAAAACTTACTTCAGATAAAATATCAGTAGGATTATTCTTTTTTGCTTGTTTAATTATTGGTTTACTATCCTTTTTGTCATCTATTATTTCTTCTACAATTTCCTCAGATGTACGTTTTAATGATTTTTCATCAGATTTTCCAAAAACTTCCCTGTAGAGAATATATTTAAACAGANTTTTAATTATTTTTATGCACTACTTTTGTTCCACAAGAATACAAGAATGTAGAAACAACGTAAGAATACATTCTTTATACAACATTTTTGCCATTTACGATCATCAAGCTTTTTGCTTAACATAATTCCACTAACTTTAAACCAATCTTATTAATGCATTTATCTTCTGAGCTCCAGTAAATGCTATAATACAACAAGGGGAAAATATCATCTCCCCAATCCATTTCATTCAGGGTTCCAATCCTACTGTTAAAATCACCCAGCAAATACACCTCCTCATTTTGAAAAGAATCAAACAATGTCTCAAGTAACTTATAACATTTTAAATAAACTTCTAATATAAACAAAAATAAACTCTTTGTTTTTCCAACATACTTCAAATAACCAATCCTCAAAGGGACAACCCACCACATCTTTCAGCTCTTTATTATCAACACCGTCCCACCATATATATTGTTGTTATGGAGAAAATAAAATAGAATAATTTTCTATCAAAATTAATACATTTATTTCTAGTTTAATAAAATGACATGTGAAGAGAGAAGAATGGCAAAATAAAATCAGTCTCAACTAATTTAATTTTACATAATTCTGAATTTTCTGATTATTATTGTTACCTTAAATGTTATCTCTGCCAAGCATCGTGGACATTTGATATAAAAACGAAATATTTTAATTCCAAGATACTCTTCATTCTGTACTGTTTCTTTACGAGCATTAAATTTTTTTCCTTTGTATATATATTCCCCACAAGTTGTACATCTAGATAGAAAAAAAGTTGAAATAAATCAATAAGATATATTTATAAATTATGAATAAACTTCTGTATTAATTTCAAAATGCATGTTACTTTACAAATTATCATTGTAGAGTAATATACAAAAAAGCTTTTGTTTATATCCATTTTGATATCAAATCCAAATAAATTAAACAGCTAAAAAAATCATTTTGATTTCTAATGATCTTATAATAAAATACACTGAAATATTATAAAATAGTTCCTGCATTTAATAGAAAAATTTGATAATTTTATATTATACAAATATATTCATATAAAACAAAAATGGGTAACATTTTTAAATGGCAGGCCAAATAAAACACGAAAGTGCATGTATGGGAATCAAATTTTCTGTTTTTATAATTTATAACCAGGTGGGTAAACAAATCATTTGAATTAACCAGTGGTTTGAAAATGGTGGCAAAAACAGTTAAAAGGATATACATATAAAAAAAATAACATATCAGGCAATACAGAAAAGATTGGTGTAAAATAAAAACTTATAAAAATATAATCAGATTTATTGTAAATTATTTTTCAAACCATTTACAACATGCATTTTGAAAATGTCCACGTCTGGATTACATATGTTTCTATATAATACGTCTCTGTAAAATTTGTCATTTTTGAAAATAAAATTGTAGTTCCTAACTGAAAATTGGCGGTGAGTCCGTCTACCATATTTTTGGATTACAGAGACGTATTATATAGAAAGATCTAACATATAGCAATCCAGTTATATAGTGGATTACATATGTTTAGGAACCTAGAGGTCATGCTGTATAGAGTCAAAATTGCCACTTTGCAATATTTTTATTAAGGTGGCAATAAAAATATAATACTGGTAATAACAAGTGGTGATAAAAACACTAGTTTGCTTATTTTGACATTTAGCATAAAACTGAATCACAATGCAAACTTCAGGAAAAACAGCAGAATGTCTAGCTCATGCGCAATGCACACTATACCTAGCTATTTCATGACATCACATGGCAAGTTTTGGGCAGAAAAGTAGGAAGTGACATTGAGAACCAAAGGCAGTTTGGTGCCCAAATGCTGCCCAGCATATCTAAATCGGGGATTTTTTATTGGCTAACAAAATTTGGGGAATTTATTGGCGTGACTTATTTTCATATATTTTTGGTCACAATTACATACTATGTCCTCACAAGCAAATAAGCTTCAGACGTTACTGCACATGGACAAAAAGACAAATGATATGAAAATAGAGTAGCATAATCACAGTGTTAAGTTAAACACTGAATTTTCAGAGGTCCATGTTTTGTAAACACTTGAGAAGTGGGTCCTATTATTTGGACAAGGAACTGTTTGTGTTTATGGCTATATGCTCATCAAGTCAATTGGAAACCTCTCTTTGTAAGTGATGGCTTAACATGTTACTTGTGCTTCCCATCTGCCAAACTGATAAGGCTATCAGCACCTGCATTAATTAGAAAGTAAAACTGATAGCAATAAATAATTTGAGGTGGCAAAAAATTTTAAAACTAGTGAAATGGTTGGCAATATTTTTAAATTTTCCAGAGCAACCCCTGAGGAATTGGCAGTTGGCCACTGATGATATAAAATATCCAATTAATTTTTACAAATTTTCAAAATTGCAAAAATTAAAATTTGATGTGTAAACATTTTTTTTTTAAATCTGAGCTTTAATCAAGTTTTGTGAGCAAGAGAAATGGTGATATTCAATAATGAATTCAATCATAGTTATTAATAAAATAAAGCAATTAATATTTTGTCAAATTTTATAAGTTTATTATTATTTACTAATTTAAATATCTCAGTAACCAAACAAATAAATATTTATATTAATTAAAGGTAACTGAAATTATATTATTATTCTACAAATAAAATTTACCTCATATTACAGGGTGCCATTAATCTAACTGTATACTGTCTGTCCTTAGGAAGTCTCAATCTTGGGATTTTGGCTGGGTCAAAATCTGGAGGATAATATTTCTGTAAAAAAAATTGAAATTACTTTAGAATCATATAAAAACTAAATAAAATGAGTTGAGTGTAAATATATATGTAGGGTCAGCCAAAATTCTATAAAAACATTAAAAATTATTCATAAAAACAAAACACCAGGATCAGTCTAAAAATATTTTTAAAATGTAAAAAGAAGTGTATTAAATTATGTAATTTTCTGAATTTAATGAACACTTAATATTACTTATAAGTATGTATTCCATAGTTCATTTTTTCATTTATGATGAAGTGATTCTTTGTTTATCTAACTGAATTTTTTAAATTATTTTTATGCACTACTTTTGTTCCACAAGAATACAAGAATGTAGAAACAACGTAAGAATACATTCTTTATACAACATTTTTGCCATTTACGATCATCAAGCTTTTTGCTTAACATAATTCCACTAACTTTAAACCAATCTTATTAATGCATTTATCTTCTGAGCTCCAGTAAATGCTATAATACAACAAGGGGAAAATATCATCTCCCCAATCCATTTCATTCAGGGTTCCAATCCTACTGTTAAAATCACCCAGCAAATACACCTCCTCATTTTGAAAAGAATCAAACAATGTCTCAAGTAACTTATAACATTTTAAATAAACTTCTAATATAAACAAAAATAAACTCTTTGTTTTTCCAACATACTTCAAATAACCAATCCTCAAAGGGACAACCCACCACATCTTTCAGCTCTTTATTATCAACACCGTCCCACCATATATATTGTTGTTATGGAGAAAATAAAATAGAATAATTTTCTATCAAAATTAATACATTTATTTCTAGTTTAATAAAATGACATGTGAAGAGAGAAGAATGGCAAAATAAAATCAGTCTCAACTAATTTAATTTTACATAATTCTGAATTTTCTGATTATTATTGTTACCTTAAATGTTATCTCTGCCAAGCATCGTGGACATTTGATATAAAAACGAAATATTTTAATTCCAAGATACTCTTCATTCTGTACTGTTTCTTTACGAGCATTAAATTTTTTTCCTTTGTATATATATTCCCCAC